ACAGGTTCCACTGTAGCATGTGGATTGCGAGAGGGAGAGAGAAAGCCTCGTTAACTATCATCATGTTTGGCATGTATGGTATCAGATGTGATTCGCAAGTGAGGTTGGGGGGGAGGAGGAAACAGTGACTGAATGAACATCTGAGTGTGATTTGAAAATAGCCACCATTTGAAAAGTGAAACGATGTTGATCTTCGAATTTGGATAAAGTGATTGTTCACAACGAGTATTATGTAGGCTGACAAGTCCAAGGTGTTATGTTAAGGAAATGTTGGGAGTGAAAATCCACCGAACATTGGTTCATCGATTGATGAGGAGTGGTTTCCTTCTTTGATAACATACTCTCGAGAACAGTTGAGCAAGATTGTTATACAGCAAAATATACGACAACAATACACGAGAATCGTGCACCTTCCGGTTAATAATTGGGGCGTGTTATCACTACAAAGTGAAACCGTCAAAACAATGCATGTCTGAATGAAGTGGAGTGCAAGTTGGTTTTCGCATAATAATAAGTGGACACATATTCAAAATGACGCATATGTACTGATCGGTCACGCAATATTGGTGCATATAAATAGGTGAATGTGTTGCAAGATTGTAGGTAGGTGGTCGATTGCAGTGATTACATAGTCATGTTGAACCGATGGACGTTTCTGGTGGTGACACTGTTCATCTGCTGTCTAACATTTGAACGTGTGTCAACCTGGTTGATACGTAGTGGTGAGCCTGTGCAACAACGCGCTGAATTCCCATTCATCGCACTTTTAACGACAGGAAAAACAATGTGTACTGGCTCACTAGTGTCAACAAGGGCAGTACTCACAGCTGGTCATTGTGTTTGCTCACCGCTGCCAGTCTCTCGGGTAAGAAATTGCACTGAAACACATTTTCGCTCAACGTAATTGGGTAATTTCACACAGAAAGTGTGTGGGTGTGTGAAGTTGATTTGCATAGATCTAATGTCGATATACTTTGTCTATTTCAGGTTTCATTTCTCACACTGAGGATCGGAGACCCAAAAGGAATCCATTACAAACCGTCAGGAGTGAAGGTCGCACCAGATTACATGCCCTCTTGTACGTCGAAACGACAGGGGGAACCAGCCCAATATGCAATCAGTGGAGCCGACATTGCAGTTATAATGCTCGCTCAATTGGTCAACGTACGGACTGGAATCAAGGTGCTCAGTCTGCCACAGCCAACGGATATACCGACACCTGGAACTCCGGTTTTCATTGTTGGTTATGGAAGGGATGATAACGACCGTGATCCACAACGTAAAAATGGTGGAATTTTAAAGAAAGGTGAGTGAGTGGGTTGTTCATTTTGGTGGTGGTGAACAAACAATATGACTCATTCTGTCTGTTTGTCTGTCTGCCTTTCTGTCTGATCCGGTTGTTGTGTTGGTCAGAGCCTCAATAACTATATTCGAATCAATCTGTGAAAGTTCACTGGCAGAGTGAATTCATTTCCATCTCGGCCATTGGGGAGGTGTGATGGAGTTGGATGAGATAGGATTGGATGAGTGAAGATCCATTTCTGTGCTAACGATGGATGAGTGTTGTTGTACATGAAGTAGATGGTCAACCAGTTTCATGTACATGTCGGGAGAGTGGTGAGATGGACAGTGAGTTGATTGGCGAATATGGTGCACATATGAGATTGCACATGTGAGTGAGATTGCGTGTGAACTATTTGTTGTGTGGATAGTTTGAGGGTAGATAATTTGTGCCAGTTGATATTTTGAAAATTCATTTGTCTGTTCTATTGTGTTTTGTTATGTTGTTTGTTTGACACAGGTCGAGCGTCTGTAATCGAATGCAAACATCCGACCGGTGGGAATCCTATTTGTGTGAAAGCAGGTCAGAATATGGGACAGTTACCCGCTCCAGGTGACAGTGGTGGACCTCTCCTTCCATCCCCTCAAGGTCCAGTACTCGGTGTCGTATCACAAGGTGTCACAATTTCAACCCTCCCCGATATCATTGTCGAGTATGCCAGTGTGGCTAGATGGATGGATTTTGTACGCCCCAATATTTGAACAATATTTCAACAATGTTTGAACAATTCTCCGACCAACTCATATCATTCATACATCTATGTACATAATCTATCGACAAATCCACACGCAATTGTGTTAAGATATTTCTGATAAATAAACAACCTCATCAATTACTACAACATTCCGTTCGTTTTCTATAAGTTGGGATGTGTGGTATAGTGTAATTTGCGCGTGTGTTCGTATGTGTTGGTCAGTGAAGTGTTAGTGGAACGGGCAGTTATTTACTTGCTGTATATCATCAGGATACTGATTGATCACGATGCATGAATGTACGCTCGTTCAGAGAGAGAGGGTGAGTGAGAGAGAGAGTAGTTAAGGTATGAAGACGATTCGGTTCATGTGACAGTCAGTCAGTGTTAGCAAACGGAGTAGATTACAGAAATAAACATCATCATCATCATCATCATCATCATCGTAAAACACTTGGCACTTGTTGTTGTTGTGAGAACAGTAGGGTTAATAGATGTGATTATGTTATATGACATTATCCATCTGATCGTGATTGGGAACATCGTCACAAATCGAACGAAACGTGCATTAGTTTTCTGTCGTAATGTCCGTATCTGTATTGGTGATTTTGTTATTGAGTAGAAATTTAACAACTGAATTTGTAGTTGAACATTTTACGACCACTTTTATTATCATCATTATCATCATCATCTAATAAATCAAACAGGGTGTCGTTGAGGAAGATAGTCAATTTTGTGAGGTTTCAGGAGACACTGGACAATTGTGCACAATGCGACTCACTTGGTTCTGTTTAAGACTGATCAATCAATATACACTGAATGTCAGATTGAATTGTAATATTGAATGCCGATAGTCGATTAGATATCGATAGTTCGCATTACTACTGAACTCATATTGTCATTGTAATTGTTCCTCAATAATACTGGAACACTTTGTATGCATGCCTGAATATTAACTATGCTTGATGGTATCTGATTGTGGTGGAATACTGAACATACAAATCACCGATTATATGCTCATTTCAGTTGTAGCATTATCACTGAAGCTCAACATGAACGAACGCTCAATGTGGTTTGTTCATGTTGTTGTTGTCTGTCACATGGACGTTGACATTAGTGCCAGTTGCAGATGTCCATTGGAAAAAAAACACCGATCATCTCTTCACATGACATATAGATTGAACTGTGCAATACAGTTGATGTTCAACACGATCTAGTGCAGAATCAAGGGTTATGATTAGACAGTTGAGATCTGTTCGACTTTTTATATCTTACAGATGATATTCATTGTTGATCAGTTTTTTGTTCATATAACAACACTTGTCAATGCATCGACATTTGTAGAAATATATCGATGCGACCAAAATAATCATAATCATAATAATAATTATTATTATTACTGTGATTATCTGTGAAGTGATTATCAGAAACACTCAGATTTGCAGGAAGTTAGTTACATGTGAGTAATGTGTCACCGTGTCTGAACATGGTGAAGGATTATAGGTGTTGTGGAGTTGATTGGAAGAAGAAGTGTAACATCGATGGTTCGATATTGTAGACGATAGGGTTGAATCTGGAATGTGGTGATGCGAACACATCCATGGATTCTTTGTATCGACAACTAGTGATTTACATTTTCACAGTTGACTATTGGTGTTGCATCCACCATATTTGTTGTTTTTCTGTTTTCGATCTGTTAAGTGTAACAGAATGCGTCGATGTGTCTTTGTTGACAGTCGTTTTCTTGTTTTCTGTCTTGTCATTGATCACATCTTCAGAGGTGTTTGAGTTCGGATCGTTTGTGTCGTGCATGTTCTGTATTACCAGTGATATATTCGTTGCTTGTTTGAAGTGATCTCGACTTCAACTGCAGCTTCGATTTGTACATGATTTGAGATTATTCGAGATAACATACATTCTATCGGAGAACTGATTAGGCTTTATGTTGTCTATCTGAAATCCTCAATGCTGCCTCGTTTAGACTGTATTTATTATAAAACTAGTGAGCTCCATTTTGTCTGATTTTACATTAAAACCAATTTCGTATTGGCTTATTTTATTATAATAATGATGCCATGAATAAACTTCCTAAGACGGTTGGATTGTGAACGGATGAATTTCAGTCTATCAGTGAAAAACTGAAGGTTGTGGAAGACCGATTCATCCTGCTGTGGTACTATTTATACAATGCTGATCGTCGATCACGCGTAACGGGTTCGAACCCAGATCTTTTGTTCCAATGCATCAACGCTTAACTTCTAGGTCGCTAAGTGAGCGTCGAACAGCATTAATTTTTAACGCCAACCAATCCACGATATTTCGCGTCCGTTTTAACATGGTCTTCGATTAGTTGAGGATTTTTATTTCAGAAGAAAATCTCAAGAAAATATGGTAACTAGGAATAAATATCATTTTAACAATAAAATCTGATAATATTCTAATTTTAATAGTTGAATTCTTTAGTCCAGTCCATGTCAAGCGAAGGCAGTTATTCATCCCAGCTATTGAATGATTGATTATGCAACTTTTCATGGATCAATAGAAGTTAGACATTAACACCATTAGATCCCATTTCAGTGATCTACAGATCAAACATCCTTTCACGAGATTAAAGGTCCTAGGTTCGAATCCCGTGTACGGAATAATGGATGCATACTGCTAAGGAGTACTATACTAAGATGTAACGGTCTTTCAATGTATTCAGCTTTTCCATGTTAGTCCAACTTACATCGACTCATGAAATTCAACTATTATAACTACTACAATCTCTACCAATCTCCATTCTCATGTCCTTATGTATCCTTTGTATCTATGTGTGTGTGTGTGTGTGTATTAAATTCATTCACCAATCTGCTTATCTACATTTCATAATAGAAACTTCTATATTGAACATTATGATTGGTTGATTAGAATTTTTCTATTTATTATTAGTAAACTTAAAGACCGAATTTCACTATGAAATGGTCTATTAGATGAATCCAATTTGAAACTTACTGCCTACATAAAACTAATCAAAATCATGATGATAATCAGTAATAGCAAAAATCTATTTAACCAATGAAATAATTCTCTTTCATAATAATAATTGACATTAGACATATATGTATACACGTCAATGATCCGTAGACATTCTACATAAAGAATACGATCGAACGCGTCGACATTCAACGAAGACAGATCCATCTATCGATCTATCTATCTATATAAAGGATCTATAAAAATGTCATCAGATCAATTAAAACAATCATTTTTATCATTTTGTAATTTTGTTAAAAAAGGTTCTATTACAGCAACTGATAAAACCATTAAAAAATTATGTACAGATTGTCAAATTTATTCAAAAAATTTAGATACAAGTCGTATTGATATTGAATTTCGTGCACATATTGGAAGTACTAAAAGGTAATTCAAATGATAATTTTGTTGATTCTATGATATTTTGTATGATGACTAGTGACTGATCTCCAAGAGATAGTTCCTACAGGTCTAATGTGAAATAGTGACCAATGATGTTCAACTGAGTGTGTTGTAAGATTCATAATCTTAACCATTGAAATGACTACAATCTCTACAAAAACCCATCTGATATTAATCAACATATGCTCACTAGTGACTGGCTTCATGAGGTATATCCTGGAGTTCTAGTGAGAAGTAGTGACCAGTGGAGTTCAACCAGGTCTGTTGTGAGATAGGAACTCACTGAAGACAATGGTGGATATGTCGCTCAATTTCGTGGATTAGTTGAAGTTAGACATTAACACCGTTGGATGCCGGCTCAGTGGTCTAGTGGTTAAGTGCTCGGGCACGAAACCAGTGGATTCTGGGTTCGAGTCTCGCACTGCTGAGGAGTCCCACAATAGGAAGAAACGGCCGTCCAGTGCTCCCAGGTTTTCCATGGTGGTCTAGCTTCAACCGACTCATGATCTTAACCATTGGCCAACCATCTGGCCAATTTTATGGATTATTAATCTGGATTTATAATTGTAGAACCTGATGAGAAATTATTGAAAAGAATATTCTTCGTTCATACAATTGTGTTTTTAAGATAGGAACTCGTTGAAGATAATGGTGGATGGTGATACAATTTTGTGGATTGGTTGAAGTTAGACAATGAACACCGTTGGATATCGGCCAGTTCACTGGTCTAGATATTGAACGTTCATGCGCAAGATCAACAGGTCTTGGGTTGGAATTTCGTAAGGCGGGATCGTGGATGCGTACTATTGACGAGTGTCGTGCTAGCTTCATGAATTCAACTATTAAATTATAACAACATTCACACAGTCCCTCTCTCTCATTATAATAATCATATGCTCACTGGAGTTCTAGCGAGCAGCCGTGAACAATGGAGGTTCAACCGAGTCTGTTGTAAGATTGTAACTTACTGATGACAATGTTGGACGGTGGTGGAATTTCGTGGACATTAACACCGTTGAGTGGTCTATAGACTAATAGGTCCTGAGTTCGAATCTTGCGAGGCTGAATCGTGGATGTGCACTGCTGAGGAGTCCTAGACTAGGATGAAACGGCCGTCCAGAGTTTCCAGGTTTTCAATGGTGGTCTAAGTTCAATTGACTCATGATCTCAACTATTAAAATTACTATAATATCCACAAAACCCCTCTCTGTTTTGTATATGTATGAACCGCAGGAAATCTATCTGGAAGCCAGTTCAATGCTTCCAAGTTTTCAGTTGGTGATCTAGCTTATGCTGACTTATGAATTCAACCATTAAAATTTAAGTAAAATGACAAGAATTTCGTTTGTGAATTATCTTGTCCATCTTACTTTATTTTAATGGTAAGAAGTCTTCAGAATATATTTGTAGTTCAAACTAGCTATCTACATGTTAGCTCTTTAATTCTTGATTGTCTACAGTAATGAGGAAGCTTATCGTCTTATCGACGATGCAAATAAATCTCTCCAATAAATGAAAGCAATTTGAATTATCCAATGTTTTATTATATAGTCCTTTCTCTATCATTATTCTGTAAATTCCAGACTGGGGGTTAAACGATCTCATTAATCAGTTAGTCATGTAAAGTATATAAAGGTTTCGAACTTCTTCATCACACAACGATAGGCAGAATCGAATAATTAATTAACTTTTAATAGTTGAGATCATGAGCCGATTGAAGCTAGACCAGCATGGAAAACCTGGAAGCTCTGGACGGCCATTTCGTCCTGTTGTGCGACTCCTCAGCAGTGCGGACTAACGATCCCGCCTCACGAGATTCGAACCCCGGGCGCCTAACCGTTAGACTACTGAACCGGCATCTAATGATAATAATGTCAAACTGCTAACACAAAGTATTTTCACAGAAATTACTCCCCCCTCTCCCGTACACTAGGCTCGTATCTTTTTCAGACAATGGAAAATGTTCACACAATATCGTCGATTGTTTGAAGTTAGAAATTAACGTCACTAATCGTCGACTCCAGTGGTCTGGAGCTTAAGCGTTGGTGCACGATGGAAGGTCGTGCGTTGGAATACCGAGTTCGGGATCGTATGTATCCACTACTGAGGAGTCCCACACTAGAATGAAATGACCATCCAATGATTCCAGTTTTTCAGTGGTAGTCTAACATTAATCTATTCATGATCTCAAACATAATTCATACTGTTTGACACTATTATAAAATTGAGATCTTTACTGAACATCTGAAAGCACATCAATTTTCAGGTACTTAGAGGTGATCAACAGAATCGCGAGACTTACATTTAAATAAGAGTCATAATTTTGTAGAATCAAGTTAGTGTACACTTATTTTGGAAACCTATCACTTCTCAATTTTTTTTCTGTATAAAGTCACATCAGCACACTGATTGTCGTTTTACCCGTCTAATATACGATTTCATTATTTGATGTCTTTGTGCTTGAAATGACCACGAATCAAGGCTTGCGTACTAAAGCTGAGTAATAGAGCAGTATAGGGACAGATGGTCCTATGAGTACATTATACTCTTAATACTTTATTCTGATTAAGGTTCTTTTGAACAAAGCAACAAGACCATTGAGATTCTAACAACAAAATAAGAAATAGCCAATGAACTTAGCAATTGAGATGAAGATTGTTCACGAGCTTGGTTGAATATTTCTCATGATAACATAGATAAGACACACTATGGCTAACACAACAGTTAGGAATTTCGCAGGTTGAAATCATGAGTCAGTTGAAGGTAGACCACCATTGGAAACCTGGAAGCGCTGGACGGCCGTCTCGTCCTAGTATGGGACTCCTCAACAGTGCGCACCCACAATCCCGCACCCCGCGGGACCCGAGCCCAAGACCTATTGACTTCGCATGCGAGCACTTAACCAATAGACCACTGAGCCGGCACCCAATGGTGTTAATGTCTAACTTCAACCAATCCATGAAGTTGCGCTACCGTACACCATTGTCTTCAGTGAGTTCCTATCTCACAACAGACCTGGTTGAACTCCACAAAACCTATTCTGATAATTAGGAATTTGTCCAAAAGTGTTTTTGTTGTTCGATGAGTGGACCCTCATTTGTCGTCTTTCGATGAACAAGCCATAATAATTTTCCTTCATCTAATACTATGAATACATTTACGTTTACTCACATAAAACTCTTGTAACTAAGGTTAACTCAAAAAAATTAAAACTTACATATAAGTTTATGATGATTAGAGTCTCTGGGTGAATGCTGACAATTTCGAGAACTAGGCAAGACTATAATTTATGAACGAACCAATCAGATTTATGAAGACAAGTCTTCAATTTTGGCGCGAAATTCATTCATCCATTTGTCTAGATAGCGTTTTACCATTTTAACTAATATCAGTTCGTGATGAAAATTCTAGATTCTATTCATAAACCTAACCATACACTGTCAATCATAATTCTAATTTCGCATATTGTTTTATAACCCTCATTTAGTCTTAGTTATTAGGTGGACATTCTTAAGGCCACTGAGGAGTTGTTCATTATATTGACATCCTCATAAAGTCAAGTCGTTGTTTTCGATGGAGTTTTGTTCTCTTCCAATGGGAGACAACCAAAACAAAGGAGTAAACAATGACAAATTTAAGGTCAGTAAGAACCAGTCAACGTCGAGGTATACAGAACAAGCTGTGAAACACATATGGAGAAACTCGAACACTTCACTTCTATCTGAAGTTTGTGCTGATGATATCGTTCAGAAGAACGATGAAAGCTCCACGACCAAACCATCCACCTCAGAGAACAAAACTCCATCAAAATTATCCACCTGAGCTACAAATCTTCCCCACCATCTCAAGTCGTTGTTTTCTCGATTACAACATAATGCATCTGTCTGAACAAATAAAGATGAATATTGTTTATATTAAACATCTATAAGTGTTTCTTTTTTCTTATTTACTTACTATTCAGAGACGTTGATTTCCCAGGATTTGTAAGTTTTCTGGAAGGTCGATTAGCAAAAGTTTATGCCGCTGCCAACGGTATGGAACATGAAGATGCAGTAATTGAGCTTAAACGTAAAATAGCTGAAACATCACCAGCGATTCATGGTGGTACTGTAAGTATATTTCATAGTTAATTTTCATAGATTCTACTATATTATGGCTTAAAGATTATAGTTAATATACGTATAGTCATAAAACGTTTCAATGGTTGAATTCATGAGTCGATGTAAGTTGGACCACCATTGAAAAGCCTGAAGCACTGAACAATATAGGATTTCTCAACAGTGCGCATCCATGATCTTACATACGGGACTTGAACCTAGGACCTGTCGGTTTAGCTTTAATTGACTCATGAATTCACCTATTAAATTACTATCAGTTTAGGGGTTGTGGAGATTGTTAAGCTTTTGGTTTAGATCATGAACCGATTGATGTCAGACCACCATTGAAAGCCTGTAAGCACTGGATGGCCGTTTCGTCCTATTGTGGGACTCCTCGACAGTGCGCACCCACGATCCCGCTCGCGGGATTCGAACCAAAGGCCGTCAGTCTCGCGCGCAATCGCTTAACCCACTGAACCACTGAGTCGGCATACAAATTACTATAATATCCACAAAACCTCTTTCTGATTATAATCATGTTGTATTGTTTGTTCGAAACTTCCCATCGATGTTTAGAACTGTAATTGCTCAGTCTGTTATTGGCATATTTGCATCCTATTCAGAGTGCATCGATACTGCCTTAAGTTACAAGTATTATAAGCAAAGATAGATAGTGCAGAGCAGTGGAATCGAGTAAATGCGTTTCGTTCTGTATGGGACTAATCAGTGAACGGTACTAGCTTCGAGTCTAGGAGTGAACATCAACTCTGTGATGTAGGTACATCCAGCTGACAAGTCTCAATTAAGACGAAACACATGTCTTGGATTCCACTGTCAACCACCACCCATCTTTACTTATAATAATTCTAAATCTTTTCTTTCTCAATATCTGAATATTATTTTTCCGACAAATACAAACAAAAATGATCGGTTTTTATATTTTTCAAATGTTGCACACACTTTCAGAATGAGTAATCGAGTAGAGTAGTTGTTATAGTGATGACTTGGTCTTAAATGAAATTAAACTGATACGAAACATAGTTGTAGAGACAGATAAAGTTCACTAGTAAAAACTTGATTTCTATATCCATAAAAGATAAGCTCCCTGTCTAGTCACCTCCATGTGCATCTACCAGTTCATCTGCTCTTCTGGAGCAAGATACATTTGACATAGCCAGTGCTCGCTATCAACTCGGATACAGGAACATGTCCCATTTTGGTTCTACAAGGGTGAGAGGAAAGCATTTACGAGTTCCATACTTGACCATCTAATTGACTGTAATCCTTCCACTAATTCACAGCTTCATTTTATGGTTGTATATACGATTCGTTCAAATCAACCTGGATTTCTTCGTATCCAACTCTTAAAAATACCCGAACCTCTTGCCATCCATGAGCTCAAGCCAGAACTGTGCATATAGATCGTTATCGATACTTAGGCCTTAATTATTATTATTACTGCATATCTCCCTTTACTTATGTCTCATATTCTCATTATTTTATTCATAATTGATCATCATACCACTTTATTTATTATTTATACATCTATGACCTTTAATTATTATAACGAAAAGATTTTATAATAGTTGGGTTCATGAGTTAATTGAAGCTAGACTATAATGGAGAACCTCGAAGCACTGGATGACCGTTTCGTCCTAGCATGGGAATCCTCAGCACTGTGCATCAATTATCCCGCCTTCAAAGATTCGAACCTCAAACCCAGGACCTATCGGTCTCGCACGCGAACAGCCAACCACATAGACCACTAAGTCAGCATCTAACGGTGTTAATGTCTAACTTCAACCAATTCAAGAAATCATTTTATTCATTTTACTACATTCACGTTACAGTTCTATTACATCATCTTGGTTATTCCTTGTTCACATCTCCGCACGCAACTTGTACTTTAACAGAACAAAAAGATTCTCATATATGTATATATATACACGTTTGTACAGCTTGATAATAATTGGTATTTATTACTTCTTTATTTTAACACATAGATATCGGTACAAGGAGGTACCAAATATATATGTGCCACACAAATCTCATTTGATATGTGTGAGGGTTTCGATACTGCCTGGGTGCCTAAACCGAAGCAGGTGGTTTTCTTAGGGGACTACGCCTGGAGACTTCAACCTGAAGGTCTGATTCACAATGCATTGGAGCAATATAAGGAGATGTAGTCCCTTGGTAGCCGGTGACCAACGATTGGTTCATACGCCATTTGTTCCCGCAGGATACTGGAGCCCATGTGCACCATTGGTTTGGAATGAGGGTTTTTCAACTTCCTTAGGTGGACTCTCTGTGTCCACCAACCCGGTTAAAGTGCCGGACATTCGCATTTCGTCCTCTCAATTTCGTAAACAACACCCCTACCACAAGAAGGCAGTGAGTAGGACTTACCTAGCATAGACTATATACGCGTGGCTATGTGAGAACTTTTCGAGAGGGAGAGCGGACTCTCCCCACTTTCGGCCGTTCCAGGGCATTTGGGGGTGATAATAATAATTGTAGTGAACAAACAGTTAATGAGGGTATAACCATTTAGTTGATTAATATACAATCACATAAGGATTTAGTGAAATGTGTTATTCATACATCAAATAAACCCTTTGAATATCTTCCTCCAATTATCTCCCACATCCTTTATAATTCTTTCAATTCTCTTGTTATTCTCAATACCTTTCTGTTCTCTTCAGTTAAATCTTGGTTTTTCTTTGACAAATTTACATACTACTTATATCTGTCAATATAAGTAGCATACACTAACTACTACATCAATCAATAGAAAATTGATTATTTATTGATTTTTTTTTCTTTTTATAGAAAATTAGCTCTGATCCAACAACATCTAGATTGACCAATGTAAAAACATTTACTGGTTCACATAAAGAACGTTTTGATATAGAAACTGGTAAAGGTTTAGGTAAAGCTGGTCGTGTTGATCCATCACCATGTTTTACTACTAGTGGAATATCAGAGCCAAGAAAATAAATTCAATTGTTTGTTTGTTTGTTTTTCCTTTGAAATATCTGATGATTCTCAATTGCATATGTATATATACATATATGGAGAGAGATAGAGAGAGAGTGAAGTTCTATTATATTCACTATTTACTCGTCTACCCCCCTCTGTTCCTCTCTCTTCCTTCCCTCCTCTCTCTCCCTCTCCTTCCCTCCTCTCTCTCTGTCGCTCACGTACACACACGCACACATATATTTACGTGTTCATTTTGTTTCTATATGAGTTTTTATTTTGTTTTATTCTCAATATTCATACTTTATAAAAATGTAATTGCATCATATGACTTATATATAAGTGAAATAACTGTGTATCCATTTATAAATTGAAGAATTTCTTTCTTTCTTTTCTCTTTTTTCTCTTTTTTTTCTTTTTTACTTTATATTATTCTATTAAATGAATCGAATTTTAAGTAAGTAAAGAGGGATAGTGATTAGTCATGGAATCTAGGAGGTCAATATTAAGTGATGAAGTTTTAGTTCGTTGAGTTGGATGATTTGATTATGAAGCTTTCATCATTCTTCTAAATGACATCATGAGTATAGACTTTAGATAGAAATGATAATAAGATTATCACATAAATGTAGCATGACCATCATTAATAAGGTGAAACAGTTACTCACTGAACACAATGGTGGACGGTTGCACAATATCGTGGATTGGTTGGAATTAGATGCCGACTCAGTAGTCTAGAGGTTAAGTGTTGGCGCATGAGATTAAAGTTCCTGGGTTCGAGCTTCTAATGATGGACCATTAATGAGCACTTCTAGAGAGTCCCATACTAGATCGAAATGGCCGATTAATGCTTCCAGGTTTTCATTATTGATCTAGTTTTAATGGACTCATGAATTCAACCATTAAATAGGGTAATAGCAGATAACTACCAAATAGATTTTCAGTGGTGATCTAACACTGATCGGTTCATGATCTTGAATAAAAGTCACCAATCTTCACAACCGTATACTGATAAATATCATGTGTTCACTAGTGACTAGCTTCGACGGGGGAATTCTCGGAGTTCTAGTAAGAATCCGTGACCGGTGGAGTTCAATCGTGTCGGCTGTGAAGCCATTACCCACAGAAGACAATGTAACATGATTGAAGTTAGACACTAACACCGTTGGACGTCAAATCAGTGCTTTAAAAGTTAAGCGTTAGCCCTCTAAACTGAAGGTTGTGAATTCGAATACCGAGTGCAGAATCGTGTATGTACACTTTTGAATCCCATAGTAAAACGAGGCGGTTATCCAATACTTCCAGGTTTCCAATGATGGCTTAACATTGATCGATTCATGACCTAAATTTAATAAATTTCTATTGATCCAGCATCTACCAATGTATAAAAACAAGAAAAACCTGTACAAATCAAACAGGTTTTGTTAGAAATCTATAAAATGTAAACTACTGATATAATATTTAAGCAATACATAATAAATCAAGACAATTCCACATCTTAACTCCTGATAAATACTATTGTCCAATTACTTAATTACTTACACCTGTTACTCCCAATGGAGCATAGGCCACCGACCAGTATTCTTCAACGCACTCACTCTGTCCTGGGCCTTCTTTTCTAGTTCCATCCAATTCTTGTTCATTTTTCTCATGTCTATCTCCATTTCTCGGCGTAATGTGTTCTTTGATCGTCCTCTCCTCTTTTGACCTTGAGGATTCCATGTGAGGGTTTGTCTTGTGATGCAGTTGAGTGCTTTCCTATCCACTTCCAGCGCCTTTTCCTAATTTCTTCCTCCACTGGGATCTGGTTTGTTCTTTCCCACAGTTGGTTGTTGATAATAGTGTCCCGTTATTGAGAGAAGAGTGATGCCTCTGTAGTTATCACACTTGCTGAGATCGCCTTTCTTTGGTATTTTGATAAGAAGTCCTTCTTTCCAGTCTGTCGGTACTTGTTACTCATCCCAAATTTTATTGAAGAGAATATTGTCCAATTAGTTTGCATATTTATTATTATAATGAGCATATGGATATGAATTGATCAGATTGAAAATAAGGTAACAAGTGATCAATAAGATGAGAACAGTATGATTGTTTTATTATGAACAATAATCTGAGAATTCTTGTCATAATAACAATAACAACAACAATAATAATGATAATCTGATTCTAAGATGTTACTAAGCAGGGAATAAAAGGTAGTAATAAGACCCTTCCATAAAGTAGAACAAGATAATATCGGTAATTGAACTGAAATAAAGTATAAATGATAATAGATTGTAAGAACATAGAGATTTCTACAGTTTGGACTTATATTAGGTAGTGAATGATATACTATACTCTGTACAATTCGTTACTAGAGTCAATTTGATTGTTCAGTTGAAAACATTGACTAAAATAGGGAAAGAAAACAATGCCCTGGTACGACCGAGGGTGTAAAGAGTCTGCCCTCCCCCCTCCAAATGCTGTCATGTGGCCACGTGCATACAACCACTGCCAGAGTAGTTTTAATCACTGCCTTCTCACGGCATTATTGTTGTTTATGAAATTGAGAGGAGGGAAAGCGAATATCCGATGCTTTAACCATGTTGGTGAACGCAGGGAGTCCACCTAGTGGATTTGGAAAACCTTGATTCCAAACTTCTGGTGCATATGGGTTCCAGGATACTAAGAAAGTAAATGGCATATGAAGTAATTATTTGTCACCGGTTACCATGAGACTGCATCTCCTGACGTTGCTCCACTGCCTTGTGGATCAGACCTTTAGGTCGAAGGCTCGAGGTGTGGTCACTTAAAAAAACCATCTGTTTCTGTTTGATCGCCCGGATAGTATCCCATCCCTCACAGAAATCGATTGAAAAAGTGTGGTGCATATATATGTGGTGCCTCTTTGTACCTATGTTTATGTGTTTAAATAATAATAATAAATCTCATCCGCTGAATCTTGCAGCACCTACTATAACAGTCTAGATTAAAAGGTTGACATGGTTTCAGTAGTACTAGTTCTCGTTGTCCGCTTTTTAGTACATAAAACGTTGTTATCGTAAATCCTTCAGAATATAATCAATATTGAAACAACTTTAGATAAGATGATGGTTGTAGGTAGTCAGCAGGAAACTCTGGACCTAGGTTTCGTGCTACTTAGCACTCATCAGCAAGGTGTACCTGTAATCTTGAGTGAACTGATACTCCTTAACGGATTCGATCCCGTATCATCCAGATTCACAGTCAGTGACGTTACCACTGAGCTATCTAAGCATTCAGTTCTCATCGTCTTAATTTCATAAACAACACCTTCACCACGAGAAGGTAGTCAGCAGAACTTCCTTGTCAGCAATTGTATGTATGTGACCATGTAAGAGCACTTCTAAATGCAGAGCTAACTATCTCTACTCTTGGCCGTACCAGAGCATTTGAGGGCTACCAATCTAAGATGATTCTGTTCAATACCAAGTTATCTTCTATCCAAAACTGTTCAAACTTTATTGAATTTCTAAACTATCAATGATTGGTAAATCATAAGCTTTAATAATAACTAATATGCTTATTCAGCATCTCACATGATATGAAGAAATAATCACTGTTTCTCTTTACTTCTTTACTATTACATATCATCATTATCTAATATGATTTGATTATGAGTGAGTTAATCTTGCTAGTAGGTATACAAGACATGTGACTATTTGAGAAGAAGAAGAAGAAGAAGAAGAAGAAAAAAGTAAAATGAAGAAAGAATGATTAGAATACTACTGAATAATATACTTTTAGGTTAAATCAATACTCTGAGGTATTTCATTGAAATTTGTATGTTCACATTAAAGTGGTCTTAATCATGAATATTGGCTGATATATTGTATATAAGTAGTATATTTAAAATAAAGGAATTTTTCAAATATCTGTATCAGAGATTTAATGATCTTTATTATTCATATCAGAAGGGTTTTTGTGGATATTATAGTACATTCAGTAGTTGAGATCATTAGCTAATTGAAACTAGATCACCATGGAAAGTCTGGAAGCACTGAACGGTCGTTTCGTCGTAGTATGAGACTCCTCAGCAGTGAGCATCCACGATACCGCCTTGTGAGAATTGAACCCAGGACCTATCAGTGGTAGCTCAGTGGTCTAATGGTTAAGCGCTCGTGCGCAAGACTGATAGCTCTTGGGTACGAATCTTGCGAGACGGGATCGTGGATGCTCGCTGCTGAAGAATCTTACAGCAGGAAGAAACGGCCGTCCTGTGCTTACTGGTTTTCCATGGTGGTCTAGCTTCACTTGATGCATGACCTCAACTATCGAGATATTTATTAGTGCTAGATAGTGGATTAATTGTTGGTTTCTCCTGAAGAGTGAGATTTATTCAAAACTTATTTTACTTCTGGTCAATTAATTAACACTATCACTAATCATGAACTGAGTTTGTGTACTAATCTGACATTTTACTATAATTTCTTACTTAGTTACTTACACCTGTTACTTCTTGTGGAGCAGTACAGGCCTTCCATCAGCATTCCCCATCTAAATCTGTCCTTGAAGATCCTTTCTACGTGTTTCCAGTTGTTATTCATTCTTTTTATGTCTGTTTCTAATTCACGATGGAGTGTGTTCTTTGGTGTTCCTCTTTTCCGTTTACCTTAAGGATTCCAAGTTAAGACTTGCCTTGTGATGTAGTTTGATGATTTCCACAGCGTATATCCTATCCACTTCCAACGTCTTTTCTTGATTTCGTCTTCAGTTTGTATCTGCTTTTTTCTGTCCCACAGTATGTCATCGATGGCATCCGGTCATCGGATATTGAACATATTACTTATAAAACTGTTTGTAAATACTTCTACCATTTTGATGGTTGTTGTAGTAGTTCTCCACGTTTCAGCTCTCTACAATATAACTAACTGTCTTGGTGTTCATATTGAAGATTGTGACCTTGATATTGTTTGACAGTTGTTCTGACTTTCATAGGTTATTCAGCCGTAGTAATGTGGCCCTCGCTTTACCAATCCTCGCATTTACATATGCATCAGATCTTTTTTGTTTATTAATGATGCTTCTCAGGTGCGTGAAGGATTCCACATCACAATTGATTGATCACTGGGTGGTGATCAATCTCATGCTTGTCTAGTCCTTATTAGTGCAGATCGAATGCTATCGATCATGTTGCAATGTGGCCACCAGTCTAGGTGACTCGACACTGCGGGCACTATGTATTGAGTCCAGGGTCCAGGGTTTCCTGTTGACTACCTCCAACCACCATCTAATCTCAAGATTCCACATCTTCCAGAGTTTCTCCATCCAGTGTGATTGGGTTGGTGTTCACAGTGTTGTATTTGAGGATCTTGCTTTTTCCTTTATGTATATTGGGGCCTATTGATGCAGAGGCTGATATTTTACTATAACTTGCAATCAATTATTGAAGAACGATCAGTTTCTTGGTCTTTTAATATTTTGTGTTTACGGTAATAATGAAAA